TAGGTTGGATGTCAGGAAAAACTTTTTCACTAGGAGGGAGGAGAAGCACTGGAATGGGTTACCTAGGGAGGAGGGGGACTCTCCTTCTTTAGAGGTTTTTAAGGTCAGGCTTGACAAATAGCTGGGTGGGATGATTTAGTTGGGGATTAGTCCTGCTTTAAGCAGGGGGTTCAACTAGATGACCTCCTGAGGTCCCTTCCAACCCTGATATTCTATGATCCTAAGAGGGGTAACTGTAGTAATCTATGTTTAGCTACCCAAAGGGTTCTTGTATTCTCTTAAATCTGGGATAAATAATTCAGCGATTATACCCGTCCCCATGCCACCTGCCCAATTCCAGCTCAGTCTCATTGAATTCACTGGGGGTAGGGGCTGAAGGATGGAGGGAATGTTTATAGCTGAAATCACCAAAATGTGTTTTGCAAGGTTAATGTTAAAATCCGATCTGTTCCGCTCTCCTGCTCGTCCATTTTCTCTGGGGATCCCGGAGACGGAAAGGAGCAGGTGTTACCATCTTGGCTACCAATCCCCACGGTGACTGTCTACACTAGCAATTCTCAAAGTGTGGCAGGAGCTTCCCAAAGGAGGCACAGGAATGTGTCAAAGGAGGCATGAACTGTGTGGGTTGTTTGTTTGTTATTTAAAGAGCACTGGTTGTCAGCCCCAGCTGGCTGGGGCTCATGAAGAAGGAACAGGCCTAGCTGGGATGTGGGGATAAATGCTCAGGCTCTCATACCCAGGTGGAGCAGCAGCACAGAAGTCAGGGTGGCAATGGGGTGATAAGTCTGCTGTGAACGGTGATATTGAGGAATATCACTCTTCACGTGGCCACCCTAACTTTGGTTCTGCTATTGGAGTCCTTCAGAGCTGGTCACATCGCCAGCGACTACTCTGCCTTTAGAGCTTGGTGGTGATATATTTGCTTTTGACGGTGGGGACATAAATGACCACAGACACCAAGAACCGGGGGGCAATGAAACACATCTGAGAACCATTGGTCTACACTCCTATGGGCACCACGTTTACAAAGTGATAAATCTTCCCCAAAGTATGTCTTTTGAGGTATCATAGGAAAAGTCATCGCCTGCTGAATATTAGTGTCCCATTAAAATGTGTCTATCAGCACTGTCCATGGAGCTCTGAGAGTTTGCTGTATGTTTGTTACATGCTGTAAAGCTGGAAAATGCCCACAGATGAACTCCTTAGAGACAATGGCACCTGCACACCAGCTAGGTGCTTAGTGGCCAGTAATTGCTTAGCCGGCCATTCAGCAGTTGTGGACCTGTGAACAAAAGAGTTACAATTCACCAGGAGGATGGCTGGACACTCACTTAGTGCACAGACTGATTGTCGCCTGCCCCTGGCAGCAGGATGAACCTCAAAGAGGAGAGTGGTATAAAAGCACAAGGGAGAATTGTCTCCATTTTTACTTCTCCTCTCCCATCTTTACAGAAGGCAACAAGATCTCTTGAAAGGCAACAGGG